GGCGGGCCGGCGAGTACGGCCGCTTTTACTCGCCGGCTTACAGTTTTCCCGTCGCGTAGGTGCAGGGCTTCCTACAACTGCGAGCTCCTAGTCCATAGCTACGATGGAACCAGAAGTATCCCTCGGTTGGGTCATCCGGGGTTTTGGGTGGTTTACACGAGGGTGGCTTCTGGGCCTTTGGTTGCTTTTGGCGAACGTGGGCAGGCTGTGCTGCCCGTTCCAACCTAGGCTTAGCCCTATAGGGGTTCGCTGTGGGCACCGGGACTCTGTCCTTGAAAGACAAACGCTGGTGTATGCAATGTGGTCGTGGCTGTGAAGGCCGTCCCGTATAATTACCCCTTTCCCCCTATAGGGTTGCAGTGTCGTGGCAACGAGGAAATTGTCCTCATTACCGACACGTGCGACTATCTTATCTGCAATCGACGCAGCTTAGTCGATTTGAGAAATCTTCCAGCAGAGCCGTCATTGTCGGTTGGACGTGACTTGGCAACGTCTCGAGCCACAGCTCTCTGACAATGTCAGAGTGAGCGTTTGCTGGGCCGGCTAGCGAGCGTAGACGCGCCAGATGCATGCTTGGCGTCGTGCACCGATCGGGTGACGAGCAAGCAACTGGCGTAACCTCTCCTCGTTAGAGGGGGTATAGAATTGAAGGATTGCAGCCTTCAGAACTTCGTACGCATCCGTTTCCGGTGGTATCCCTTATCTTTCTGACCTGCTCCCATTCTAGTTGCTAAGCGCTGTACTTTCTCAAGACAGCGTTCGTCCTGTTTAAAATAAGCCGCCCATGCCTGTACACAGTATTCTAAATGGTCTCGTACAACGGTACAAAACCTCGGGTCTTCTGCAACTCACTACAGCGCACAACCTGAACAGTTCGTGTCGAGCTATATTAGCCGCACGCTTGCACTGTATTTCAGTTCAGTTCAGTTTCCATAGGACGAATATGGCTCTTGCCAATCCAGCTTAAAGTTCGTTGTGTAATCGACGGCTGGTAGTAGCTCCGAACACTGCGTAAAGTAGATTTCATGTTCGTGATCCTCACAAATTAGCCCCGTTGACAGGAGGTTGACTCGTTGGATGTATGCTGGAAGGAAGAAAAACAAGCAAGGATATATCCTCGCCTCATTGGTTAGAGATCTCATGTACACTTACGTTCATAAACACAGATTACATGTGATCAATTTTACAATAATCCCAACAGTTAAGCCCGAGTTTGCACCATTTCAAAGCTTCCGGCGAAAGTAGAATTTATTCCTTATGTTCCCACTCTAAATACTAATTTCGGGGAACGTTACTGACCAACTTGCGTCCAGGGCCACCTTGAAAGCGTTAACATCGGCGCAGTTGACCACTTCCGCGTGTAACCTTTT